TTCTCTATCCAGGATCTCCTACATAGATCCCCCTCCGAGTGGTTGACAGTGGTAGCCGGGCACCATCTAGTTCTTCTGGTCTCATAGTTGTATAGGCTGAGGACTGCATGGTGTACCAGTCACTAGGACTAATTCTTTCCGTGAATCTTTGGTTTTCTTCATTCTTCTTTGCTATAGACAAGGAGAGACCCATCGTTGCATCTAGATGGCTGCTTGCAAGCTTTTAAAATCCCAGTTGTTACTCACCAAGGTAGGAGGTGGAATATATTTTGTGTAGTATATTATGCCAATTGAGTTTGATTTCACCTGCAACTATGGTCTCAAGCCCACAGGTTCAACTATTCAGTCCCTCTGGGTAGCTGGCTGTGACCAAGAAATGACTACAACCTTATCCCTTGTCAACTCTACTATACCCCTGAGAATTCTTACACATCACACAAATACACTTATAGGACCATTGTCTGCCAACCCTACACATGGTCTTGGGTACACTTCCCACTACAGACCTACCTAATATTCCAGCCTGTCCACTCATCTATCTACCCATATACCCATAGTTGCCTTCACTGACAACACAGTACTATATGTGCAAAAGGGTTCATCTTTGTTGTCTGTACCTCCCATGTACTTCTCTATGTCTTCCTCTTCCTCAATGCCACCATGTTGATCACTCACATCTGGTACACTGCCCCTGTCTTCACCCAAATCAGTATTTATCTCTACCTACCTAACAGTGTTCCCTACCCTACCCTCCCACCCCTGGTAACCAACAAAGAAAATTTCCTTCCATAGGTAAACCTTTCTTGACTTTTACAATAATGGACTAATACAATATTTGTCCTTCTGTGATTGACTTATTTCACTCAGCATAATGTCCTCCAAGTTTATCCACGTTATGCGGTGTTTTGCAGATTCTACATTATTCTTTAGGGTTTCATACTATTCCATTGTGTGTGTGTACCATAGTTTGGTTATCCATTCCTCAGCTGATGGATACCTAGATTGTTTCTATCTTTTGGCTATTGTAAATAATGCTGTAATGAACATGGGTGTGCATACATCTGTTCCTGTCATGGCTCTCACTTCTTTAGGATATATACCTAGTAATGGAATGGCTGGGTCAAATGCTATTTCTAATTCCAACTTTCTAAGGAATTGCCACACTGCTTTCCACAGTGGTTCTATCATTTTACAGTCCCACCAGCAGTGTATGAAAGTCCCAATGTCTCCACATCCTTGCCCACAATTATTATTCTGTCTTGTTGAAATTTGCTACTAGTGCTGGGGCCAGATGGTATCTTATTGTTGTTTTGATTTGCATCTCTAATGGCTAATGATCATGAGCATTTCTTCATATGTTTGTTGGCTGCCTGAATACCCTCCTTGGTGAAGTGTCTATTCATGTCTTCTGCCCATTTTTTAACTGGATTATTTGTCTTTTTGTTATTGAGGTGTTAGAGTTTTCTATAAATTCTAGAGATAAGTCCCTTGTCAGATATGTCATTGCCAAATAGTTTTTCCCAATCTGTAGGTTCTCTTTTGATTCTTTTGGAGAAGTCTTTGGAAGCACTTAAAAATTTAATTTTTAGAAGGTCCCATTCATCTAGTTTCTCTTCTGCTCTTTGTGCATTTTGGGTTATGCTTGATAGTCTATTTACGCCATATATTAGGGCCCTAAATTTGCCCCTAGTTTTTCCTTAAGGAACTTTATAGTTTTAGCTTTCAATTTAAGTCTTTGATCCATCTGGAGTTAGATTTTGTGCCTTTCTCATCTTTTTAATGGCCTCTTGCTTTCTTCATGGATGACGTTCTTGATGTCATCCACAATTCTTCTGGCTTTTAGTCACTAGTATTCAAGCATCAAATCTATTCTTTAGATGGTCTCTAAATTCAGGAGGGATATATTCAAGGTCATATTTTGATTCTTGTGGACTTCTTTTAATTGTCTTCAACTTCAAGTTGAACTTGCATATGAGCAATTGATGGTCTGTTCCACAATCAGCTCCTAGTCTTGTTTTATCTAAAGATATTGAGTTTTTCCATCGCCTCTTGCCACAGATGTAGTCAATCTGATTCCTGTATACTCCATCTGGCAAAGTCCGTGTCTATAACTGCTGTTTGTGTTGTTGAAAAAAGGTATTTGCAATGAGTTGGTATTTGCAAGTTGTTGGTCTTACAAAACTCTATCATGTGATCTCCAGCATTATTTCTGTCACCAAGGTCAAATTTTCCCACTACCGGTGATTCCTCTGTTTCCAACTTTTGTATTCCAATCACCAGTGATAATTTACACATCTTGATTGCATGTTCAGTCATTTTCAGACTGCAGAAGTTGATAAAAATCTTCAATTTCCTATCTTTGGCTTTGGTGGTTGGTGCATAAATTTGAATAATAGTATTATTAACTGGTCTTCTTTGTAGGCATATGGATATATTGCGTTATACAATATTGTACTTCAGGACAGATCTTGAAACATCCTTTGCAATGATGAATGCCATGCCATTCCTCTTCATATTGTCATTCCCAGCATAGTAGATCATATGGTTGTTTGATTCAAAATGGCCAAAACCATTTCATTTCAGCTCACCAATGCCTAGGGTTATCAATCTTTATGCATTCCATGTCATTTTTGACAACTTCCAATTTTCCTAGATTCATACTTCATACATTCCATGTTCCAATTATTAATGGATGTTTGCAGCTGTTTCTCCTTAATTTGAGTCATGCCACATCAGCAAATGGAGGTTCCAAAAGCTTTACTTTATCTATATTTTTAAGGTTGGTTCTATTCTGATGAAGCAGATCTTTCCCAGTCATATTTTGAGTGCCTTCACACCTAAGGGGCTCATCTTCCTGAACTGTATCAGACGATGTTCCTGGGCTATTCATAAAGTTGCCCAGTAATGCATCAGATAGTGTTTTCCTGCTATTCATAAGGTTTTCCCTGGCCAACTCTTTGAGAAGTGGATGGCCTCTTCCTTCTTCCTAGTCTGTTTCACTCTGTAAGCTGTGTTGAAACCTGTGTACCATATGCAATCCTGCTGGTGTTTGAAACACCAGTGGCACAGCCTCAAGCCTCACAGAAACATGCAAGCCACCACAGTATGACAAACTGACAAACAAGTTCATCTCCTTTAGCTGTTCGAACCCTCTCCTCCCTCCCATTACCTGGATCCTGCCACTTTGTTGTCCCCAACTTTCCCTCATTCCGACCCCTTGGATGGGGCCTGTCTCTACTCAAGACATGGATGGATGTGAATGGATGCTGGGACCTCTAAACCCAGATTCATGTTCCCACAAATTTCTCTTCCTTGGGAAACACTCCCTAGTTCTTGCCACTACATTACCATCCCTGGTAGTTCCCTGTGAGGACATAAGATCCACTGTGCTGAACCCAGGATGAGATGCTCTAACCAGATGTTACCACAGTTCCAGGATGGCAGCAGAGAAATGAACACAGAAAGGAAGCTGACATGAGATTATCTGGTTCAGAGACACAGGACTTGATCTCCAGAGTTCAGAGGTCTTTATGGGCGATTCTAGGAGCACCCCGAGGAACCAAAGTAGGAGCAGTTTGCTCTGTCAGCTTTATAATATCTATCTTATCCATCCCTGACGTCCCATTCCCACTCTGAACAGGCTCGCCTTCTTCCTGAAGAAGAGCCCACAGTTTGGCCAATCCCCCAACATCACATGAGGACATGTAGTTCTACCAGGCCCTGTTTGGAGCACTGGGGAGAGAGACAGCCAGACTCAGATCCTGCCTTGGAGAAGCTCCCAGTCAATCAATCACAATATGGTCAAGCCAACATCGTGACAGTCTACCTAAAGTAGCTGGAGTGACAGGGGAACCCTGCAGGACTTGAAGGCTCAGTCAGAGCTCAACAGACAAAGAGGGGAAAAAGCTCAGAGGCAGAGGGGCAGAGCATGTACACAGGCTCAGGAGTAGGATGACCTACATACGCAGGACCGGAGAGAAGTATGTATGGCTGGAACAGTTTGGAGTGCAGGAGACACGTAAGTGAGGCTGAAGGGACAAACAAGATCTAGATAAAGAGAACTTTTGGTACCGAGTTGAGAAACTTGAGCTTTATATGTAAAACAACTGAGGTATCTTTGCTTCTGTTGCTGTATGCCTTCTCCATTTTCAGGCACCTGATATAAAGGGGAAGATGCAAAGATAAGAACTTAATCATTGAAAAGAAATTTGGTTGGAGCTTTTTAACAGCATACTGTCTTGTCAGTGAGGAAAGTTTCGGAAATCCTAGGTAGAAAGGGTAGTAGACTAGGACAAGGTCCAGGAGACATTTGGTTCCCCTTGTTATTGAACCTGGAGACCAAGCATCACAAAATAAGTACCTTTTTGAGCACTAAAGGCAGTGAGGTCTCTCGTGGTGGCCCCTCAACACTCTCAGCACTTTCCAGTAGTGGAGGCTTGTTCATGAGCATGGTCACAAAGAGGTCATACTTCAGCAGCTGCCTCAGCAAACCTAGGAAGCAAAGAGGTAGGGAAGTGAGGTGAGATGAACACAGGCACCAAAGTACATCCAAGGTAGCCCCACAGAGAACTCCAGAGACACTCCTCATGTCTCCATAGACATGAAGAATGGTACGATTCTTAAGCACCAATTTGCTTTCTGCAACCCAGCTCTCTTCTACAAGGATCTAGTGAGAACCTACATGTGCCAAGCATAAGGATCTAGAGAGTCAATAGTAAACCAGATAAGCCTAGGCCCTGGTCACCCCACTAAACTATAAGTGTCATGAGGACAGGGATCATTCATCTATCACCTGACACAGTCCCTGACATGCAGCAGAAACTCAATAAATAATTTTTTAGACTGACAAATGGAGCATATACTCCTATAGTGAAAACAGTCATAAAACTAAGTCACATGAATGATTCCTTAGAATTTTGATAAAGGCTACAAATGAGGAATATCCAGATATCAGATGATCTAACCCATGTAGGGGATCGGTAAAGCTTCCCATGCGTAAGTGTGGTTTAAGCCACACCTTAAGGACACACACCTAGATGAAGCAAGGTAAAGTGGGTATTGCATTTCAGGCAGAGGAATAACATTCCAGGAACTGAAAGAAAGCCAGAGTGGTTGAAGAAAGAAGAAAATATCAAGAAATGATGCTTCAGAAATAACCAGGCGTCATATTATGAAAGACCATGTAAGCTATGTTAAGGATTCTAGTCTTTATGCTGGAAGTCACTAAAAGCATTCTAAATAATACATAATCTAGCCAACACATAAACAAGATGGCACATCAGAAAATTAAGTGTTAATATGAAATGATGTGAAAAAGAAAGCCCAGGGGTCTGTGGAAAATCAGAGGAAACATCAAATCCAGCCAGAGGCTCAGGTTAGACTTCTAAAAAAATAAAATATGTGAACCAAATCTTGAAGAATAAGAAGTGAGAGAGAGAGACAACTTCTTCAGGGCAGAGAGACGAGAGTATACAAAGGCAACAAAGTATGGTGTATTCCTGGAGATGCACTTGGCTGCTATAGGTACAGGGTGACACACAAAGAGAAGTAAGAAATGAGGCTGGAGAAGTAAATAAGGGTTAGATCATAAAGAGCCTTGTAAGGATCGTGGACTTTAGACTAAATGAATAAGATGACACATTACAAAAATTAAGACACAGCACTTGAAAGGTTCAGCTCAAAGAAGGGACCACACCTCTGGCTGGGGGGATAGGTGGTAAAGAAAGGCTGCATAGCACAGGTGGTATTTAAAATGGGACTTCCAAGTATCATCAGCTGAGACTTCCCTCTGCTGTGCCCAGACCAGTTTCTGGGATGGCCCAGGACCTCATCTTTGGGTACTTCCTTGCCCCGCTATGCCCTAACTCCATGTACTGCCCTGTGCCAAGTTACATACCTTTGCTTTTGCCCATATTGCCCCCTCCCTTCCTCTCCTGGCCAAAGCCTACTCACACTGAGCACTCAGTCCCAGCATCCTTTTCTTTGGGAAGCTTCTCCCATTCTGTGCTCCCACCCTCTTTTTTGCAACTTCTGTGACAGCTCTTACCACACTGGACTCTAATTGTTTCTACATCTGTCTTCCACATCAGCCTGCCTTCCACACTAGAGCTTATGACCCAGACCCCAGCACAGGCCTGGCCCAGTGTGAATGCTCACTATGTGTAGCTGGACCATTTCTACACAGGGCTTTCAGCCAAAATTGTGAAAAGAAGCTGTTGTTGCCCACAGGCTCTGCTTTTCCTTGGAGCTCCTGCTCCAGAACAAGCCTTCACACAGTCACCAATCACAGTGCCCATCAGCTCTGTATGAAATACCAAAGCTCCCTGCTCAGAGCGTTTGAGAGATCTCATGTACTTATGCAAGGAAGTAGCAGAAGAGGCTGGAAGGGCACACTGGGGCTCCTAAAGAGTCTCAAACAACAAGCAGAGAAACCCAGAGTTTGCCTGAAGGCCACAGGGAGCCATGGAAGATTCAGGAATAGGAAAGTGGCAGGTCGTGAGCTGTGCCATGTGATGATTCACTTGGCAGCAAGTATAGGATGCACCAGGTAGGCAGAGATTGGAGGAAGAAAATCTGCTAACTTGCCTCTCTCTTCTTTCTCCTTCCAACAGCCTGAAGATGCAGCATCAGCATGTTTTACACAGTCTATGCACCTCATCTCCAAGTTTCTATGCTTTGCAAAGCACCACATTTTTGCACCACTAGAGCAGCAAATATCTCAAGCCCTAAAGCCTTTGGGAGCTCTGGTAGCATAGTGGCTAAAGCACTTGACTGCTAACCAGAAGGCTGGCGGTTCAAACCCACCAGCCACTCCTCGGAAGGAAGGTTGGGCATTCCTACTTCCGTAGTGATACTGCCTCGGAAACCCAAGGAGGGGTCGCTATGAGTTGGGGCTGACTCGACGGCACATAACAACAACAAAAAGCCACCACCAGTCGCCAATGAATCAATTCTGACTCATAATGACCCAATGTGTGTCAGAGTAGAACTGAGCACTACAGGGTTTTCCATGGCTGGTTTTCAGTAGTACCTCTCCAGGCCTTTCTTTACCTCTGGGTGAACTCAAACCACCAACCATTTGGTTAGCAGCTGAGCACGTACCACCTAGGGACTCTAAGTCCTAAAGCAAAATCTTCCAAAGTTTGCTCCCCTTTTTTCCCCATGCCTGTCTTACCCAAGCAGTTGATCTGTAGTTCCTTTGTCTGGGCACTGTTCATGGTAGAAAGGAAGAGTGGACACAGCTTCTCCCGGAAATGGCCGGAAAGCATCTCAGCTGCTCTTGGTGCAGCATACAGCTTCCCGTACAGGTAACAGACAGAAGCTTGCACCATCTCATTGGGGTACACCAGACCTCTCAACAGATGTCCCATCAGGTTGCCTGTCCAGAAAACAACCCAGTAACCAGGGGATTCTCACAGTGTCAACTGATATAAGAAACCCCAAATGACTCCCCCAGTGGGGTAGCCCTGGCAATCCCCTACATTTGTATAGCCTTTGGACAATTACGAAGAACTTTCTTCTCCATTATCATTTTCAGTTGATCCTTACAAAGCTTAAAAAAAAAAAAAAAAACTCACTGCCATCAAGTCGATTCCGACTCATCGACCCCCTTTGGGTTTCTAAGATGGTAAATCGTTACGGAAGTAGACTGCCCAGTCTTCCTTCCATGGAATGGCTGATGGGTTTGAACCACCAACCTTTTGGTTAGCAGTCAAATATGCCTTAGGCACTACACCACCAGAGCTCCTTTTATAAAGCTGAGCCCAATAAATGCTTTCTGGGCACTTAATCAAAAGGGAAATCAAAGCTTAGAGAAGTTAACTTATTTGCCCTTGGATAAATCCTCTGTGAGATATTTGCATTTTGCTGACAGGAAAAAAGTGCCTCTGTATTCCAGAATTGATTTCTCCTTCCACTAAAAAGAAAGGTTCTTAGCAGGTACTTAATTATTTGGATTTTAAAAAATGAATGTAAATAGCACAAGACCAAGAGTCAAAAAACTGACCTTTTTCATTGACCAACATAGAACAGATTTTGCACATGGGGAAACTGATTACACAGTGAACAGGCCACCCAGATGAAAGAGTGTTCAAAACAGGCAAAGGGTCATGGCAGCCCCTCCCCACAGTCACTCACTGTGCTCCATTACAAGCATGTCTGCCAAAGCAGGGATGGCATCCACCAACTTGCCGAGAAGCGTCAGAGTGGCCAGGCTGCCTCGCATGGAGGGCATGTTACACAGCTGCAGAAAGTGAACACACTCCACTGTGTAAATTAGGATCAGGGCAGATCTTCCACCAAAATTTATCTTGCCTACCCTCACCAACACCTGTACTGGGTGTGCCTCTCACATCAGCAGCCAGCCTCATTGACTGAGTACATGTCCATCTCCCCACTTATACTGAGAACCCCCAGGGGGCAGGGACTGAGCCCAATTCCTCTGAGTCTTCAGTACCTAGCTGAGTACATGTTTATTACACCAAATTAAAATGATATTTGCCTCCTACTGAACTAGAAACTGGAGAGTGAGAGTTGGGATGTCATAAAGACAGAACGCTGGCTCACTGCAAAAATTATTAGTAGTACTGCTATTCCTTCTACTACTACTACTACTACTACTACTACTACTACTACTACTACTACTGTTGTTTCTGAATACTGTCTATGTTGTGCCAGGCTGTATGCTTGATGCTTTACAGGCAGAGTCAATAGGTGTCTCAGTTCTCTAGTGTTGCTGTAACAGTAATATCTAAGTGGATGGCTTTCACAAACAGAAATTTATTCTCTCACAGTTTAGAAACCTAGAAGCCTGAGTTCAGAGTGCCGGCTCTAAGGAAAGGTTTTCTCTTTCTGTGTTTCTTGGTTCTAGAAGGATCCCAGAGCAGGGGCCCTGGGGCCGAAGGGGGTGCTTGCTCCTGACTGTTCCTTCTTTGTAGTAGTATGTCCCCCTTCTCCCTTGATTCTCTCTCTTTTAATCTCTTGTAAAATAAAAGGTGTTGCAGGCCACACCCCAGGGAAACTCCCCTTACATCAATCAGAGCTGTGATGGGGTGAACGGGTGTTGCATCCCACCTTAATCTTCTTATCACATCATGGGGAATCATTTTAATAATTCAATGTTCCTTTTTCTTTTCAATTGTGATTTGGGTGAAAGTTTACCAAGTAAATTGGTTTTTCATTCAATAATTCCATACATTGTTTTGTGACATTCATTGCAATCCCCACAATGTAACAACATTTTCCTCACTTCCTCTCTGTGCTTACCATTTCCCTTCATCCTTCTTTCTCATCCCTTCCTGCCTTCTTCTTAGCTCTATGCCCTTTCCATCTCATATGGTTGACTGTATATACTTTCCTGGTATTACTGTTCACCTTATAGGCCTGTCTATCATTTGGCTGAAAGTTGAACCATGGGGATTCCCCGATATGAAGGGTATCCAAAGACCATGGTCTCAGGGATTCCACCAGTCTTCATCAGATCAGTAAGCCTGGTCTTTTTTGAGTTTTGTTCCACATTTTTCTCCCACTCTATCCAGGACCTCCTATTGTGATCTCTTTCAGAGGTCAGCAGTGATAGCTGGGCACCATCTAGTTCTTCTAGTCTCAGGGTCATGGAGGCTGGTGTCCATGTGGTCCATTAGTCCTTTGGATTGTTTCCTTGAGTCTTTGATCTTGTATACTCTTCTTTGATCCGGACAGGGAAAGAGCAAGAGTTGCACCTTAGATGGATGTTCACAAGTTTCTAAGACCCTAGTTGCTACTCACCAAACTAGGATGTAGAATATTGACTTTGTAGACTACTTTATGCTTATTGACCTTAGTGTCCTCAAGACTATCTATGGTCCTGAGCCCCCATGCCCAGAAATTCATTCTCTCAAAGTGTCTGGTTATGATTAAGAAGTTTTCATAACTTTGCCCCTGAATGTTAAATGATGGTTTTAATATAAACATTTGTCTTCCTTTTGAAACATAAATAAAAAGATTCTGATATTACTCCTAAATCTTAACACAATCCAAAAGCTGTGTGTTTACATATCTCTGACTACAATGAAAAAAAGCAGGTTAAACATACCCACCCAATGCTTAACCTTAACGCTGGTAAAGGCAAATGCCTTCAGTACAAAGTAACATATAACACTGAAAACACTAAATCAAGATGTAGTGGACATATTTCCTTGATATATTCATCAAAGAAAATCGATACTGCATCCAGGAGGATATAGAGAATGGGCCATAGAATGACTGTGCCAGAAGGACGTGACTTCACCACAGGGAGGTAGCATTTGCGAGACTGGAAGGGTGAGGAACAGTTCAGGACAAGAGCAAAAGGCCCAGGCCCTAACTCTGGCTCTGATACCAACCCAAGACACGTCAAGCACGTGAGTCCCTTTTCCTCTCTGGATTTCAGTCCCTCTACTTCCCTAAAGAAGAGGTCGGCCCAGCTCTGACACCTGGAGAGTTTGAGGGATGCTTAAGAACCCACTGCTATTTACTGACCTCTCTGTAGCACTCATCCAACAGGCAATGGAGGGTCTGCTCCAGCTTCAGCTGAGTTATAAGCTGGATAAGGACTGAGGAAACAATAGCATCAGTGACCAGAAGCAACGCCCAACTGGAATTCACCTTTCATAGCCCTTCTATTCCGAGTCAGTGCAGGGCAGTGGTTTATTATTATTAACTGGTATTAGTCTTTTCTGTTTCCCCCATTTAACTATGTGTCCACACCCAAACCAAAGGATTTCTGGCTTCTTCATGTTTTGTATTAGTGGCTCTCAGCTCAGGCTGCATATTAGAATCACCTGTTGTTAATTACTGTTGAGTAGATCCTGACTCATGGTGACCCCATGTATGCAGAGCAGAACTGCTCCAGAGTTTTCAAGGCTGTGACATTTCGAAAGCACATCACCAGGCCTGTCTTCTGAGGTGCCTTTGGGTGGTCTCAAATCACCAAACTTTTGGCTAGTAGTCAAGCACTTATCTAATGTGCTACCAAGGCTCCTGAATCATTAACCCACCAACACTGAGTCAATTCTGACTCAGAGTGACCCTACAGAACAGAGTAGAACTGCCCCCACAGGGTTTCTAAGACTTTAAATCTTATGGAAGCAGACTGCCTCATCTTTCTCCCATTGAGTAGCTGATGAGTTCGAACATCTACCTTTTGGTTAGCAGCCAAATGCTTTAACCATTACACCATCAGAGCTCCATCATGAATCACTAGGAGACTTTAAAAAATAGCAAAGCCCAAGTTCCACCCTAGACCAATAAATGAGAACCTCTAGAGGGAAAGTACAAGCACCTGTATATATATTTTTTTCAATTCCCCAGGTGAGTTATCTGTGAAGCCAGGATTAAAAACTACATTACATTATCTTTATTTTATTCCAGGAGCCCTAGTGGTGCAGTGGTTAAAGTACCTTGCTACTAACCAAAAGGTCACATTTCAAACTCACCAACTCCTCCACAGGAAAGATGTAGCAATCTGCTACCATAAAGATTTACAGCCTTGGAAACCCTATAGGGCAATTTTACTCTGTCCTATAGGGTTGCTATGAGTTGAAATCAAATCAACTTAACACCAGTGGTTTTGGATGGGTACTTTTTCCTCCTTTAAGTCTGCTCTTTTAAATACTAGAAAACAGAAGTAAAACTGAGGTTTTATGTCAATTATTAGGATATTATCTCTTAGCTGCAAACCCATCAATGATTCTTCTGGTGTCTTTGAGGAGAAAAGGAGATGAAGCTGGCTCTGCAAGTGCTGGAAAAGCTGCAAACTAGATTCAGCTGCTGCTGTGGGACTGCTCTACCCTGCCAGGTAAAGACTCATTCTAGAACACTCACAGAAACAGGAAACAGCAAGGAAGGAGAAAGTGCTTCTTCTCTCTCCAGTCTTGCAATCTTCCTCTAGAACTCCACAACTTTGAGCTCTGCTGGTTTAACCCTTTTGTGATCCATGGGACAGAGTACCCACCTACATTTCCCTCTTCTGGAGTTTAGTGGGAAGCCGCTATCCCACTTGTAGTATGGGCTGCCATCTGGTGTGGGGGGCTATATAACTGCATGAATCTGAAGAAATGGGCCTCATCCCATCAACCCCAGGACCAAAGACCCCCTCATATATGTCCCATTAATTGTACCAAAATCCATATTACGTCAAAAAAAATTTTTTTAATTTCATTCAAAATTACTTCCATAACTGAAAACACATGATTTCAACCAAAAAATGCAAGTAGAAAATAACTCAGTCTTGAAAGGGCTAAAGGTCTTGGTTTCTAAGGGAAGGGTGCTTCCATGAAAGAACACAATAGTTCTGTTGAATTAGAAGTTGAAACTACCATCTGGCCATTTAGAGCTCTTTATGCCATTGAGCCAATAGGCAAAGAAAAGATTACTCTACCACCTGGAGTAACTGATCTTGATAACCAGGGGAAATTGGGTTGCTTTGAACAATAAAGTCAGGGAGGACTATGTCTGGAATCAAGGATTCTCTGGGGAAGCTCCTAGTACTTCCATGTTTAATAGCAAAAGTGAATGTAAAACTATAGCAACCTGAAAAAAAAGCAGGACCACTGAAGATTCAGACCCTTCAAAATGAAGGTTTGGGTTATTCCCAACTTGGCAAAAATCTCAACCAGTTGTGATCCTTGCTGAGGGCAAAGGATATATGGAATGGGTAAAGAAAGAAAGAAATTAAAAATATTAACTACAGGCTTGTGACCAGTTATGGAAATGAACGTGTGTATGTATGTGTGTATGATTTGTATATATTTTCTTTTTTCCTCTCTGCTTCTCCTTGTCTTTATTATCTGTACAAGTTTTGTTGAAAGCTAACTTTATCATTTATTATGCAGAAAACAGAACATTGAGATGGGAACTGTGACTGAAGTTGAAAATTAACTATCATGACCCTGAGATGGATAATATGGATAATATAACTGTCTTTCAGAAATAAATATAATTATTATTTGAACTTGCCATCTCCTTATCTTGGAGATAAATAGCTTTTTTTATATGAAAGATACGTATAAAAGATAGATGTATCTTGTTAGGCACAAACGGAGTTATTTATGTTGTTCTATGGAAGTTCAAACGTGTCTAGAAAGGTGTGTGAGGATGAAAATTAGTCAAAAGAATGGACAGAATCAGCCATTTTGCTATTGTCTCTCAGCTCAAAATTCACCCTTCTGTACTTTGTTTTGGGATACTGTGGCTAGAACTCTGAAAACCACATTTCTGCTTTCCTAGATGGCCCACAGTTAGGCTCTGCCAATAATGGGCACTACAAAGAGATGGCAAGGCTATAGGAAGAAGGGTCTCACTCCTTCTTTGGGCTTCCTGTTTGTTTCCTTCTACTTTATACCTATGAATGTCACCCTAATACCTCTTCACTCTGGCAGTGGTAGTGTCTTCCCCTATGAGCAGCTGAGTCTAGTTTGCAGTTTTGCAGATCCAGCCTCACTGCATCCCTCCTCCCTGAAGACACCAGCATTAATTGGTCAATGCCTTTCCTCAGAAGTCTGGGTCCCAGCCAGTAGTCCCCCCCCCCCCAAACTTCAAAGTTTTAATAATTCCAACCTCTTCTCTTTATTTCCCCAGCCCTGGCGATGGGAGCTGCTTTCTGTGTTTGCTACTAGCTCTGTGAAAACCTGGTATTCTCTTTGCACCTCTTCAGTTACCCCAAAACCCAAAAACCCACTGCCATCGAGTCAGATCTGACTCATAGTGACCCCTCCTTGGGTTTCCGAGGCAGTATCATTATGGAAGTAGATTGCCTAACCTTCCTTCTGAGGAGTGGCTGGTGGATTTGAACCGTCAGCCTTCTGGTTAGCAAATGCTTTAGGAACTACACCACCAGAGCTCCCCTTCAGTTACCTAGTTAATAATTATTTTAAATAAATAAATAAATATATATATATATATATATATATATATATATATGTATATATATATATATGCCATTTTAACCATTTTAAATTGTACAATTCAGTGATGTTAAAAAACATTCATAACATTGTGCAACTATCACCAGTATCTATTACCAAAACTTTTTCAGAAACTCTGTATCTATTAAGCAGTAACTCCCCTTTCTCCCCACACCTCAGCTCCTGATTAACTGCTAATCTTCTTTCTGTCTCTATGCATTTACCTGTTCTAGCTATATCATATAGTGGGATCATTTATTTTTGCATCTGGCTTATTTCACTTAGTATAGTGTTTTCAAGGTTCATTCTCAGGGATCACCATACCTTCCTTAACAGTATAACACGCCATTGTATGTGTGTACCACATTTTGTTTATCCATTCATCCACTGATGGACATTTGAGTTATCCCCACATTTTGGCTACTGTGAATAACACTAGTATGATCATTGGTGTACAAATATTTGAGTTCCTGTTTTTAATTATTTTGGGTATATACCTAGGAATGGAATTACTGGGTCATATAGTAAGTCTCTGTAAAAATTCTTTAGTTTTTTCTGTTCAAATAACTGGTATCGTTTCTGATTCCTGACTGGACCCTAACTGATACAATTCTTACTCTCTGCTGGAATCCCCCCATGACAGTTCTATTGCCTTCTTCCTTTATAAGCTATTTGTAAGTAAACGCATGTACTTCCACAGCTTTAACCACTACCTATGTGTAAGTCATGTTGTACTGGGAAAATCTGCTGCAAAAGGCCTCTTTAAAGTACTGAAGAGCAAAGATGTCTCTTTGAAGGCTAAGGTATGCCTAACCCAAGTCATGGTATTTTCAATTGCCTCATATGCATGTGAGAGCTTGAAAGTTAATTTGTTGTTGTTGTTGTTGTTGTTTGCCATCGAGTCGGCCCCGACTCATAGCGACCCCTCCTTGGGTTTCCGAGGCAGTATCACTACGGAAGTAGGAATGCCCAACCTTCCTTCTGAGGAGTGGCTGGTGGGTTTGAACTGCCAGCCTTCTGGTTAGCAGTCAAGTGCCTTAGCCACTATAAGGAAGATCAAAAAAGAGTCAATGCATTTCAATTGTGGTATTGGTGAAGAATACTGAAAATACCATAGACTGCCAGAAGAACAAACAAATCTGTCCTGGAGGAAGTGCAGCCAGAATGCTCCTTGGAAGCGAGAATGGCTAAACTTCGTCTCGCCTACATTGATCATGTTGTCAGAACAGACCATTCCCTGGAGAAGAATATCATGTTTGGTAAAGTGGAGAGTCAGCAAAGAAGGGGAGGACCCTCATCAAGGTGGATTGACACAGTGGCTGCAATGATGGCTCAAGCATAGCAAAGATGGTGAGGATGGTGCAGGACTGGGTGGTGTTTCATTCTGTTGTACATGGGGTTGCCAGGAGTCAGAGCCAACTCGATGGCACCTAACGACAACATCATGCGCAAGCAACTTCCAACCAATCAATATAATGTAATTAAAAAAAATATTTTGTGCATGTCATTGTAGTAGTACTTATCAAGTCTAGTTACTTACTTTTCCAGGTTATAAGCTCTTAGAAGGCAGGGGCCATGTCTTAATTCACCTATGTATACCTTGAATGTGATATAGGCATAGAGTAGGTACCCAATAAAGACATGTAGAATTAATGATTGACAACTAATTGAGTTATCTGTCTCTGTCTCTAAGTAGACCCTTTCACCAAGGTCTCAGATAACCACAACTGCAACTCAGGCTAATATTCCCAGCTTCAAATGCTAGGTATACAGCTTTACCTCACCTTCAATACAGAGGTCTGTTGTACTCCCATCTTCCACACTGCATAATAGTCCTTGGAGTACAGAAGGATAAATAGGGAGTGGTTAATGGTTAAAAGAGAAAACAAACCCACAAGGCTCACTGTGAAGTCTAAAACTAATACCAGCTTTAAGCAATGTCCCAGCTAAATGCTACCCTCCACATCAAATACTTAGACTTTTGAAGGCACACCCTGGCTTTAAAAGAGTAAGCACTTTAAGTATACAAAAAAATAAAAAATAAACAAACTCATCCTCGAGTTGAATAGAACTGCTCCACGAGGTTTCCAAAGTTGTAAATCTTTACAGAAGCAGAATACCACATCTTTCTCCCACAGAGCAGCTGGTGGCTTTGAACCACTGACCTTTTGGTTAGCAGCTGAGTGCTTTAACCACTGTGTCACCAGGGCTCCTCACCATAGGCACAAAGGTTAAGATTTACAACATGTATTTTGTGGGGACATAATTCAATCCATAATACCTCCCTTTCTCCCAAAAATGCTGATTCCATAGGACATTATAATCATATTAAAAGAAAGGACCTGAGATAAAATTTAATCCATCTCATTTTACAAATGAAAAAACTAAGGCACAGGAGACAAGGGTGACTTATCAGGGTTACACCCAGGTCAGCAGACTCCAGTCCAGACCTAAGATGTACTAAGATCCCATGCAAAGACCATACATACTTGACTCTGAAGGCTCATTGATTTCCCATATTCATCTTCACACTTTTACTAACCTCTTAGCTCCAGTGAAGCTGGTTACTATATAATACATCTTATATATTATTGTTGTTGTTGTTGTTATGTGCCATCGAGTCGACCCCGACTCATAGCGACCCCTCCTTGGGTTTCCGAGGCAGTATCACTACGGAAGTAGGATTGCCCAACCTTCCTTCCGAGGAGTGGCTGGTGGGTTTGAACCGCCAGCCTTCTGGTTAGCAGTCAAGTGCTTTAGCCACTATGCTACCAGAGCTCCTTATATATTATTAAAGGGGTCATTTGTTCACCATTATTACAAAACAATTTTCTAATAAACTATAAAAAATCTATTTTGTTTCTCCAAGACCCCAAAAACAGACACATGTAAAATTCATGCCAAGCGTCCCTTTTAATCTCACCAAAAAGCATGCTTATGAAGTGAACGCAGACTCTCTGGTCCTGAGCCACCAGCTGCGTGATGAGGGAGGTGTGCCTTACAAGAGCATCTTGTAAACAGGACAGCACGTGCTTCTTGCGTACCAACTTGAGGGAGAAAGAAAAAAATTCTTTAATAGCAACCAACTCTCAACCATATTGAACCCAAGCAATTGCAATTCCCAGATATAATTACAAGGTGGCACTGGAAGAATCGTCTAAACTATGGTAAGTTCCATACTTACTGAAGGTCTTTGACAAGGAGCATTATTTACACACAGGCATCCACATGTTCATATGGAGGATTATACATGGGTTGAGGGTACTAACATCCTATATTTACATAGCACTCACAAGGAGCTCTGGTGGCGTACTGCCTAAGGCACTTGACTGCTAACCAGAAGGCTAATAGTTCAAACCCACCAGCCACTCCTCGGAAAGAAGGTTGGGCAGTCTACTTCCATAGTGATACCACCTCGGAAACCCAAAGAGGGGTCACTATGAGTTGGATCACTGCATAATAGTCCTTGGAGTACAGAAGGATAAATAGGGAGTGGTTAATGGTTAAAAGAGAAAACAAACCCACAAAGGCTCACTGTGAAGTCTAAAACTAATACCAGCTTTAAGCAATGTCCCAGCTAAATTCTACCCTCTACATCAAATACTTAGACTTTTGAAGGCACACCCTGGCTTTAAAAGAGTGGCAATGAGTTTAGTTTTTTGTACTATTCACAAGTCACTCTTTTGTCCACCAGCTCATATATATCTAGTAAGTTAGTGAAGCAAGGAAAAACAGATATCATCATCATGGTTTTGGAGATGAGAAAACGGAGGCTCGGAGACTTTTCCAAAGACTCAGATCAAAATCTAGTCTTGTCCAAGGTCAGTGCCCTTTCCTAGGTAAACTGTCTGGGGGAACTTATAGCACAAGAGCCTCACAGAGGTAGGTAGAGAAAATAAATGTACCTTGCTACTCTAGACAGACATAAACCGTCACGCTAAAGTCATCTCCCTGTACAGGGAACTGGAGAGTAGTGTGCAAAGTACTCAAGACAATAGCAAAAGGTAGGTCAAAAAATGGGGTGAGCACTCAGGATAGAACAGGAACACAGGAACAGCTGATTACATCACCCCTTCCAAGGGGTAAGGCTAAAAAAAGTGCATTTAATAAAAGGTAGAGAAGTTGCATCTCTTACTGCCTTTTATCCGTACCACTGCAAGTCTCCCATTTTTCCTTCAAATTCATCCTACTTAATAGATTTAGCTAATGCTCTAAATGAGCTGCTCAAAAAATCTCAATGACTTCCCTTTACTTGATCACTTGGATTCAAACACTTCAAGGAACTGATCTCAAATCTCACTTCCCACAACTTCCCTTCAAAGCTGATTATCCCCCAAACTCATCACAGCTAATACTGATACTACTTACTGTTACCAGCTACCCCATCTCTCCAGGCCAAAGATCACCCATCTTTTCACAATTGATTTGAATCCTTCCTCCTCGAATAGTCTTCCTAATCTCCCTCCTTACTGTTAATTCCCTGACCACAAACAATATGTCCATCTCCTAAATTTCCAGTAACGTGTTCCATTATTTTCTCTCCTGTGCATTGTCTTATTCATCTCTGTATCCCTGTCTTCCCATCTAAGAATAGTTACCTCAGAATTTGTGGCCATAATGAAACCTCAAGGATTATTAACTAGCCCAGAATTTCTCAAAGCGTGGTGTTGGGATCCTTGGGGTCCCCAGACCCTTTCAGGTGTCCATAAGATCAAAATGATTTCCATAATAAAACATTATTTGCTTTTTCCACAAGCATACAGCAGAATTTTCCAGAGGCTACATGACATGTGATATTGCAACATACTGAATGCAGAAACAGATGAGAACACAGCTATCTTCTATAAAATCAGACATTAAAGAGAATTGCAAAAAATATAAAACAAAACCACTATTTTCATTATGGTTTTTTTTGGAGGGGATGTATAGTTATTTTTATTTTAAAAATTACTTATGTCACAATCTAATGGATTTACTATGATTTTTAATGAATTAATAGCTATTTAAATTTTTGTTTTAATTTCTATTAAGTAAATATCAATGGCTATAAGCCACATAAATAGAAGCTCTTCAGGGTCCTCAATAATTTTTAAAACTTTAAGTCATCCTGAGATCGAGAGGTTTGAGAACCACTGACTAGTCCAACACCCCTTCCCAAGGCATGAATTCCCCTCAGCAACAGGAAAAACGATCTCCCAAACTCTTCTTGGATGGCTCCATAAAGGAGAAGGTCTGAAAAAACGGATGGGGGTTTGAGGGAACAGGCAACCCACGTTTCAGCCAACTGTGCCTATCAGACAGGTTTTCTTCCCATTCACCCCCTTCCGCCCGGCTCTCACTTCCACCCCTCCATCCTGCCGTATTACAGAGGCCAAGCCACCCCCTCCTCCAGCCCGACACCCTCAGACATCTGAAGGGAACGAGAAGCCTCACTGCATGTGCGCCCGGCTGAGGGGGGACTGAGGTGGGAGCGAGTCTGTGCTAAGGCGAAATCCCGCAGAAATGGAGACACCAACAGCAATTGGCAGGACCGGTGCCAGTGAAGCTCGGTGGGGCGCTGGGCGGGAGGGAGTGCACTCCCAGAGGGCAGGGCCTGGTTCGGAAAGGGGCTACGTTGGCCCAGAGCAGGGCCTCAGAAGACGAAGCTTGGGTCAGTCAGGTGAAAGGGACAAGTTTAGGGAGCAACTTTAACAAAGCGAGTGGGCCTGGCTTCGTTTCAGGGGCGTTTAGCCCGGGCCAAGAGGCTGCTAGGGAGCGCGGCGGCCGTGTTTGGTGAGGGGAAGGCCTGGGCCAGGTTCGCCAGGGGGATGGGGCGCCCCGCACCGACACGCCGGGCTCCGGCAGCAGCTCCAACGCGCAGGCAAGGCAGAGTCGCGGGGGCACGGGCAGCAGCCAGCACGGGTCGTGCCGATAATGGGACTTCTCGAGTAGCAGCGCCGCCTCTTCGTCTCTCCCCGGCCCCAGAGGACCCGCAGACATCACCCTCTCAGCCACCCCAGCTCGCACTCCGGCGCGGCGGCAGCTTTTCCCGCGCAGTTAGTGCGCAAGCGCACTTAGAAGACTGCGACTGTGTGTGTGTGTGTGTGTGTGTGTGTGTGTGTGTGTGTGTAATGCGCCTGCGCGGATCTAGTACTATGCACCCTCAGGCGAGCAGCGGCCCCGGGGGGCGGGTGTTGGGTTGGGCGAGCAGCGGCCCTTGAGGACGGGTGTTGGCGCCCAGATTCTGGAACGTGTCCTACGAAGCCCAAAGGGATTTGCTCTTAGAACCCTCAGGGATTCCCTTCACCACACTGAAAGTTGAAAACCATTTATAAAGAAGCTGTCATTAGCTTTGAAAAAAGAAAGGAAACAACCCATTTATAATATAAAACTCTTTAAAAATAAATATCACGAGTTACTATCATTACCTTAAATTTACATGACACCTTTCAAAGAATTTAAGACGCTTCCCATAAAATATCATCTTACAAAGGGCTACACTACCTGAGACTTCGTGAGGGTACAAAAGATAGTGAAGAGAAAATATTTCGCCAACAAAACTAATCTATCAATCAATATGGACTTACCTGCCCAACAATCTTAAAGGAGTTAAGTTCAAGAGGTGTTTTCTACATTCACAGACCATGTATGTAACTTAGTGGAAAAGGTGCTTTCCATAAAATAGTTTGGAAAGCAGTAACTTTTTTTACTTTTATTGTGGTGAAAACATACACAAGACATTCGCCAACATAACAATTTCCACATTTACAGCTCAGGGATGTTGATAACATATTTTTCATGTTGTGCCACAATTATTACTATTCTTTTCCAAAATGTTCCACCACCATTAGCATAAATTCAACATCCCACGAACAAAAGCTTCCTCCTACCCCTGGTAACCATTAATAATCTTTGGTTTCTGTGTATATATATATATCCCCACCCCTGCTAACCTATCTAGGAATTTTCCCTCCCCTCCCCTCCCATCCCTGTAACCAATAAAGAAAGTTTCCTTCCATGTATAAAACCTTTCCTTGACTTTTTACAATAGTGGACTAGTACAATATTTGTCCTTCTGTGACTCACTTATTTCACTCAGCATAATGTCCTCCAAGTTCATCCATATTATGTGGTATTAAAAGCAAGGACTTTTTATTGAGTGGAATATTATGAAGTAATGTTTTTTGAGAAAAAAAGATATTATGGGAAAATGTGCATGGGGTCACTGTGAGTCAAGGGTGACTCTATGCAGCCAATAACACCAACACATATGTATTAACTATTAGTTGCTGCACACGGTGGCTGCGACAATGGGCTCAAGTATAGCAGGATCATGGAGCTGGCGTGGGATCGGGTGGTGTTTCGTTCTGCTGTGCATGGGGTCGCTATGAGTTGGAAACGACTCAACAGCACCTAACAACAATCAATTGCTGCATTACAAAAATCACCCTGTGTATAGTTTGAAAGTCGGCCCTCAGAAAAATATGTCCACATCCTAGTTCCCAGAATCTGTTATCTTATTTGAAAAAGGATCTCTGCAGATGAATTGAGAATCTTGAGATGAGAGATCATCCTGGAGTATACATGTGAAAGTCCCATGCACCACCAGAAAAACCAACAAATTTGTCCTAGAGGAAGTGCAGCTGGAATGCTCCTTCAAAGCAAGAATGGCCAGACTGCGTCTCACCTACTTTGGTCATGTGGTCAGAAGGGACCATTCCCTGGAGAAGGACATCATGCTCGGTAAAATGGAGGGTCATCAAAAAAGGTGAAGACCCTCTAGGAGATGGGTTGACACAGTGGCTACAATGATGGGCTCAGGTATAGCAAGGATTATGAAGCTGGCACAGGATGGGGCAGTGTTTCGTTCTGTTGTACATGGGGTTGCTGTGAGTCAGAGACGACTCAATGGCACCCAACAACAACATACTGGTGGGTACTAAATCTAATGACATTTTATAAGAAACACAGGACAGACATAGAAGAGAAGGAGACGTTGTGATCACAGAGGGAGAAATTGGAGTGATAGGTCCACAAGCTGAGAAATGCCTGGAGCCACCAGAAGCCAGGAGAGGCAAGGAACTGACTGCCCTCTAGAGTCTCTGTGGGGAGCACAGCCCTCTTGACATGTTGGTTTGGGACTTCTGACCTCCATAACTGGGGGTAAGTAAAATTCTATCGTTTGAAGCCACCAAGTCTGTGACAATTTCTTACAGCAGCCATAAGAAACTAATACATTCCCAAAATTTAGCAACTTAAAACAACAAACATTGTCTCCTAGTTTCTGTGGTTCGGGAATCCAGGTATGGCTTAGCCAGGGGCCTCTGGCTGAAGGTGTCTCATGAGGCTGCAGTCACACTGTCAGCTGAGGCTGCAGTCATCCAAGGCTCACTGGGGTTGAAGGAGCTGCTTCCAAGGTCACTCTTGCTGTTGGTAGCAGGATTCAGTTCCATGCACACTGTTGGGCTGAGACCCTCAGGTCCCCTTTGGCTGTTGTTCAGTGGCCTCCCCCAGTTCCTTGCCGCATGTGCCTTTCCATAGGGCCAATCACAACATGAAGTCTGTGAGCAAGCAAGGGAACAAGAGAGGGTGCCCGAGATGGAAGCCACAACCGTTTTGTAACCTATTCGATTTGTCAGAAATGAGTCACTAGGTCCAATCCACATTCTAGAGGAGGGGACTACACACGAGCCATCTTAGGGGCTACCTACCACAGTCTAAGTGCTATAATAACCCCAGTGCCACCAAGTGGATTCCAACTCACAGCGACACTATGAGACAGAGTAGACCTACTCCCATAGGGGTTCCAAGGCTGTAATCTTTACAGAAGTAGACTGCCACATCATTCTCCCATGGAGTGGCTAGTGGGTTCAAACCAGCATGCTACCAGGGCTCCTGTAAATGTTATAATAGAGATAGGCAGAAATTTACAGACAGCAGCAACCCACTGGTTAAGCATTTGGCTGCTAACCAAAAGGTCAGCGGTTAGAACCAGCTGTCCATGGGAGAAAGACTGTGATAGTCTGTTTCTGTAAAGATTACAGCCTTGGAAGCCCTGTGGGGCAATTCTACTGTCCAATAGGGTCGCTACAAGGAGGAATCAACTCAGTGGTGGTGGTGGTGGTTGTTATGTGTTATTGAGTCAGCCCCGACTTCTAACGACCCCTCCTTGGTTTCAGAGGCAGTATCACAACAGAAGTAGATTGCTCAGCCTTCCTTCCAAGGAGTGGTAATGGGTATTTAATGCAGAAAAATAAAACCAGGCAGAAAACACATCCTAATATTGACTGGGTGGTGGGATTATAGATTATTTTTTATTTTTCTGAATTTTCTAAACTCCCTTTCATGAGCATTTATGACTTTTACAATTAATTTTTTTTTTTTTAAAAAAAAGATAAGTGAGAAGAAAGGAAGGGAAAGAAAGAGCTTGAATTAAAGTCCCAGCTCCCCCACTGAATTATGCCCTTGAGCCTCAGTGTCCACTTGTTGAAGCATCACAAGACACAATGTAGTTGTGTATCACAAGACACAATGCTAATTGGCTCAGAAGTTTCAGACTTGATTAAAACAAGTGATTGACCTCAAGACTCCCATAGGTGGGCCAGACAGAACAACAGGTAGTTATTATGGCTACTGTACTTGAGAATAAAAGAGGTAGAGATATTTTGCCCATGAGGTCTGTTCATGAGCAACAGACACCCAGCCATGGGGCTGAGGGTCAGAGGCAGAAAAGTAGCACAGATGTCCAAGGATCTGCTCCCTTCCTTGTAACCAAAAAAACCTGAATAATAGCTGAGCCCAACCCTCCTTAAAGTCGTTGAGGTTGATTGTCATGCCTCAGGCAGGATTAGCTCAGGACAGGACCCTGACAGAAACCCCAGTGGTCCGTACTGTGAGGAGCTGGGGAAGGGAGGTGTTTCAGGAGATAGTATTGGACCGACCCACAGCCCTCAGGCCTTTAAAACCATGGGGTACCAGTAGCTTTTACCTCCAAAGTATGCCACGCCACAAAAAGGAACACTCAGAGAACATCTCAAAGAACTCAAATCCCAGGGCAAATAACCAATTTTATTAGAGGCTTTGGGGGTGAACTGATCACTCTCATGCCTTCTCTGCCATGTCCTTGGGACTCTGGGCTGCAGACTACTTTCTAAAGCCTAGCTGGAGCAGAAAAGACCTCAAATGCTTCATAAAAACAAACTTCTTGGGAGCTGGTGGACTCCGTGGGGACCCATTTGGGTTCCCAGGGGCCCCCTGACCTTGGGGGCTCTCTGTACTGGGCGGAGAGGCTCCAGCACCACAGTGACCGGGTGAGTGAAGTTCCCTCTCCAAAGAAGTGCTAACTTTGACGCTGCTCTCCTCTGTAGGTGGGTCCCCTGCTTTGGGAAGCAGGATAGGATCAGGATCCCGCAGGCTTGCACAGGGGCCAGAGTCCTGGGGCTTGGCCGGCTGTGGGAACCAGGTCATCTTGCTCAGAAGGGTTGCATTCAGCCTCGCTGCCGCAGATCGGAGACTCTTTTTGAAGCTGGAAGGCTCCGCAGGACAGGAGGAAGGCCGCTCCAGGTTGCCTCTTTTCCAGGATGTGGGCTGCTGCAGTTTGCGTTTGAGGGGCTTAGGGACCTCCCAAGAAGGCTGCTCCTTCCTCCAGTGGTTGTGGCCTGCCCTGGAGCCTGAGGTCCCCTCTCTGCTGGGCGCCCTCTCTGCCATCTGGGAGACTCCTGGCCTGACCATCTTCCTGCAGGTTTCACTCGAAAGCTCTTGTACCCTCTCTCCGCCACACCAGCTTGCAGACTCGTTTTCAGTCCCGGACTGCCTGGAAGCAGAAAACAGGCCCTTGGAGGGAACCGCTTCCTGGATAGGCTGTGAGTCTCTGGCGCCACCTGGTGGCTTAGCTCTCCTAGGCTTTTCAAGGTAGATGGGCCTGCCCAGCGGCTCTGACCGGCATGGTTCACACTTCTCCTGGGCTCTAGTCTGTGTAGGAAGTTTGGGGCTCTTTCTTCCTGTGGGTTGAACCCTCCTCGGATCCTCTGGTGGCTTAGGCCCTTTCTGCTGTCCTTGAAACTCATAACCAGTATATAATCCGGGGAGCCTCATCCCAGCAACAGGCAGTGGGTAAGGTCCTGATAAGTTAAGGTGCAAATAGGACTCAAATATGCGCTGAGGGAGACCCCACTTCAAGTGTGCGATCTTCCGCCGCATGAGGGACTCCAGGAGAAGTTGTTTGCTTTTCTTGAGGACTGGCCCCTTGGGCTGGATGGTGAGGGCAGCAAGAGTGCCCACAAAGGCTGTGGCCGCTTGGGGTTGAGATAGGCAGGCGGGGGCCCCTGACTGAAGGTTCCAGGGTCCCCAAGTCAGGCTGGAGGCCTTCCCTGGAGCCACGTCTTTTATCTTTCGTTGACCTCTGTGGGAGTCAGGTAGGGCCGTCTGGGCCCCTGCTCTGTGTTCCTTGGCAAGGGCTGTGCCCCGACTGGTCAGATGCTTGTCCTTCCCACTGGCCAGCAGGAGGACCCCACCCTGATGGGGCAGGTGCTTGATCTCAGGATGAGGAGCAGAGGCTAAACTGTTACCGGCCATAGCCTGTCTTTGTTCCATGGCCCCATAACCAGAGCCAGTGAGGGCTGGGGGCTGTGCTAGGCTGTGCTTGCCGTCCCCACGCTCCTCACCCCTAGCACAGTCAACATGGAGATTTCCCTTAGCACCATCCTTTCCTCTGACCTGGTTCTTCTTTCTGTCCCTTGCTACTTGAGGTCCTCCTGCATCCTCAGTTCTGCACTTTCTCTGGTTGCCTCCATCTCGGATTTCAGCAGCATCTTCATCTTCAACCTTGTTCTGGTCCCCTCGCCCCTGTGTCTGGATCTCTCTATCCATTTCACTTCTTAACTCTCCCTGGTCATCTCCACCAGGTGCCTGATCACCTTCAGTCCCTCTCTGGTTTCTCTTCTCTTGTATTTGAATTTCTGCATCAGTCTCACCTCCAATCTGCTCCTGGTTCTTCAACTCAGATGAGTAGATCTTTCCATTAACTTTACTTGTTGACAGTCTCTGGATCTCTGCCCCATCCTCACTTCCAACCTCTCTTTGGATTGTCTTCTCTGATGCCTGGTTCTCTGTACGGTTCTCACCTCCAGGCTGCTGCCAGTTCCTGCACTTTGGACAAGAGGTCTTTCCACCACTCTCTAACTGTGCCTGGTTCTGCCCGTCAGGTCTCTGGGTCTCTATGCCATCCCCGCTTCCAGTTTCTTTTTGGTGTGGCTTCTCTGGAGACGGAATTTCTGTGCCGTTCTCACCTCTCATCTGCTCCCAGTCCTTGCACTCTGATAAATGGACATTTCTGTCACTATCACTTCTTGAGTGACTCTGATTTCCTTCCCCCGGTGCCCAGGTCTCTGTACCACCCTCGCCTCCAGCTTCTCTCTGGTTTCTCTTCTCTAGAGTTTGAATGTCTGCAGTGTCCTCACCTTCAATCTGCTGCTCTTTCTTCCATCCAGCTGGATGGGCTTCCCCATCAATGTCACTTGTTAGTTTTCCCCGGTTCTCTGCATCAAATGCCCAGATGTTTGCTCCATCCTTGCTTCTAATATGCTCCTGGTTCATCCACTTTGGTGCATGGAGCTTTCCATTCGTTTCACTTCCTAACTGACCCTCGTTTTCTTCCCTAGGTCCCTGGGCCTCTTTGCCATCCTCCCTGCGAACCCCTCTCAGGCTCCTCTTCCCTGGGGCCTGCATGTCTGCACCCGTCTCATCTCCAAACTTCCAGTTCCTCTTTCCTGGGTGAGGAGTCTCTGTATCAACGTCACCTCTTATTTGTCCCTGGTGATCTGCCTCAGCTGCCCAGGTTTCCACCCCAGCCTTACCTCCCTCTTCTCTCTGGTTTCTCTTCTCTGGCGCCCAAATGTCTGCTCTGTGCTCACCTCCAGCCTGGCCCTGATCCCCCCAACACGATACCTCAAATTCTCTGTCACTGTCACTTGCTACCATTCTATGGCTTCCCCACCATGGTGCCTGGATCACCACCCAGTCCTCCTCTCGAATCTCTTTGAGTTTCTTCCTCTGAGACAGCTGGGCTTCCCCTGCATGCCTACCTTTGCCCAGCTTCTTGCTTCCCCGCCCCACCAGAATTTCAACTCTTAGTTTTACCTGGTTCTCTCCACTAGCTTTCTCACTTCCACCCTGATCCTGGTTCTCCCACTCTGCTGTCTGGATCTCTGGAATATTCTCACTTCCAGCCCATTCCTGTTGCCCCCACTCCACGGCCTGGGTCTCTCCACTATCTTCTTTGGCCTCCCCCAGGTTCTCCCTCCCAGATGTCTGGAAATACGCAGCATCCTTGCCTCCAGCTCGGTCCTGATTCCTCCTCTTTTCTGCCTGGATTTCTGCACCACTATCACTGTCTTGCTTCTCCCACTCTGGCATCTGGGCCTCCTCACCATCCTCACCTCCCGTCTGGCCCCTCTTCCCCAGTCCTTGGGCCTGAGTCTCTCGCACATTGTCCCGTCTGGCCTCTTTCTTGTTCTTCCTCTCGAAGGTTTGGCTCCCTACAGCATCCTCGCCTCCGCTCCTACCCTGGTTCCTCCACTCTGGTGTTTGGGTCTCAGCATCAGTTTTGCATCTTAACTCCCGGTGGTTCTCTGCCCCGTATGCCTGGGTTTCAGGAGGATTCTCACCCCCAGCCCCCCTCCGGCTTCTCTTCCCTAGTTCCTGAGTTTTGGCTTCATTCTCACTTCCCGTCTGGTCCTGGCTCTCCCACCCTGGTGTCAGGCTCTCTCCATCAGTTTCACTTATGACTGGTCTCTGGTTTCCCCACCCCGCGATCTCAGCCCCTGCCTCATCCTTCATTCCAGCATCTGTTGGAAGTTGCCTTCCAGAGCCCTGGGGTTCTTCAGCATCCTCTGCCCTGCTCTCTCTCTGGTTTCCCCGCCTTGGAGCCTGATTCTCTCCACTAGCCTCTTCTCTGCCTGGGGTCTGACTCCCCCTCTCCAGTGGCCGGGCCTCTTGTGGGCAGCCCCAGGACTTCCACGTGGGCGTTGCCCGTTGCTGGTTGGAAGCAACAGGCAGGAACTCTCTGGACCAGAACTGCAGCCCCTGAGCTGAAGGAAGGTTTGGGAGAGAGTTAGCTGAGGACATGGTGGGGGGCTGGGAATGCATGGTGGTAACAGTTTCCAGTGGCACGAACTCTCCTGGGGAGTGGACCACTAGCTGTTCCATCCTTTGACACATCTCCAGGGCAAGGGGCTGTAGCTTACAATTCAGGTGGGTGGGCCCATCACTGAGACACCAGGGCACCTGCCATGCTTCCCAGGAATTGTCCTGAGGGAGCAGGCAGGTGCTGGAAAAGGAGGTGGAGCAAAAGATGGGTTCCAAAGGGGCATGGGCGCCCTGAGGTGGGCCCTGACACCAGCACTGCCAGGAGAGTGGGCACTGGGCCCACGATTCCTGGAGCCTCCTCCGGTACCCACATCTCTGCTTCCGTGTCCAACGTTGCACACAGACATCCAGGCCCCTAAGCTTGCTGGGACTGATGAATAATTCAGAGGCTGGCCCAAAAGCAGTGGCACATCTCGTGGAGGGAACTGCTCGCTCCTGTGATGGCACCTGTAGGTGAGAATGGAGAAGCAAAGCCCTGGAACACACATTAGCGAAGGAGCTCTGGTGGCATGGTGGTTAAAGTATTTGGTTGCTAACCAAAAGGTCAGTGGGTCAGATCCACCAGTGGCTTTGTGGGAGAAAGATGTAGCAGTTTGCTTCAGTAAAGATTGACAGCCTTGGAAACCCTATGGTGCAGTTCTACTCTGTCCTCTAGGGGCGCTGTGAGTCAGAATTGACTTAATGGCAGTGGGTTTTTAATCTTCACCCATCTGAGATGTTGTTGTTGTTGTTGTTATATGCCGTCGAGTCGGACCCGACTCATAGCGACCCCTCCTTGGGTTTCCGAGGCAGTATCACTACGGAAGTAGATTGCCCCATCTTCCTTCTGAGGTGAGGAGTGGCTGGTGGGTTTGAACCACCAGCCTTCTGGTTAGCAGTCAAGTGCCTTAGGCACTGTGCCACCAGAGCACCTGATACAACTTCTATTATCCAGATGAGGATGCTGGGACTCAAAAAGGGGGGGAGTCCTTTCCCTTAGGGTGAACAGTATTCACTCAAGATGTATTTATTGAGCATTTACTCCTGGCCAGGCACTGTTGTAGGTGCTGGGGTTGCATAAATAAATAAAACAAAGTCACTGCTAGGAGTTTTGTTCTAGGCTTGGAAGACAGTAAGCAAGTATGTAACAGAATGTTGGATACTGAAGTGTTCTGATGGAAAAGAAAGCAGAGTGGGGGGTGGGGTCTCCCCTTTACACAGAGCCCTCAGGTCAATGAAGGCCTTTCGGGGAAGGTGACATTTGACTGGAAACCTGAATGCAAAACCAAACCATACCCTTTGCCATCAAGTTGATCCCAACTCCTGGCTACCTCATGTGTTCTAGAATAGAACTGCCCCATATGATTTTCTTGGCGGTCACCTTTACAGAAGCAGGTCACCAGGCCTTTCACCCACTGGGTGGGTTTGAACCTCCAGCCTTTGGGTTGATAGTCGAGCGCAAACCATTTGTGTCAGCCAGGAACCTCGACTTAAATGCAGTGAGGGCAAATCAAGTGGCATCTGAGGAAAGAGCATTATAGGCAGAGGACACATTCAGTGCAAAGGCCCTGGGGACAGAACAAGGCCATGTGCACAGGAGCAGCAACGAGGTTCTGTGGCCAGACTGCAGGGAGCAGTCAGGAAAGCCCTAGGGAATGACCAGAAACCAAACCAAACTCATAGCCGTGGAGTCAATGCTGACTCACAGCGCCCCTAGAGGACAGAGTGGAACTGCCCCACAGTTTCCAAGGCTGTCAATCTTCACAGAAACAAAGCCCAAACCACACCCACTGCCGTGGAGTGATTCCGGCTCACAGCGCCCCTAGAGGACAGAGTGGAACTGCTCCAACAGGGTTTCCAATGCGGTCAGTCTACCGAAGCAAAGCCCAAAGCAAACCCACTGCGATGGAGCCAATTCTGACTCACAGCGCCCCTAGAGGGAAGCATGGAACTGCTCTCATAGGATTTCCAAAGTTGTCAATTTTTACCAAAGCAGATGGCCCCATCTTTCTCCTGTGGATCAGCTGGTGGGTTTGAATAGCCAGTCTTTTGGTTAGCAGCCATTAACCACTGCACCTCCAGAGCTCCTCTAAGAGATGAGGTCAGCAAGAAATGCATGTTGTGGTTGACAGTTTGGATTTGTTTCTGAGTGCAGCTTTGCACAGGGAAGTGCACTGAGCTGCTTTTGTTTTAAATTTTATGGTGGTGAAAATATAATCACAAAACAGAGGCCATCACAACCATTTCTGTGTGTGCAGTTCAGGAATGTGGGTTACCTTCTGCATGTTGTGCAACCTTTCCCACCATCTTTTTCCAACCCTTTTTCCCCCCTTGACCTTAAATTCACGTTCCCTAAGCAAACCCCCTTCTCCCTCCCTCCTACCCTTGGTAACCAGTAATGAGCTCTGGTTTCTGTGGATTTGCTTATGTCGAGTAAGTGGCATCACCCAGAATTTGTCCTTTTGCAACTGACTCTTTTGGCTCATGTTTGCAAGGTTCGTCCATGCCATGGCATGCATCAGGATGGTCTATTTCTAGAGTTTGTTGTGGATCACAAACACAATGTTGGGCTTACATCAGATTCAGAAGAGCCACGCATGTCCACACATCACCCCGTCATGTGGTGGGAACCGTAGGATTCCATGCAGGCAAATCAAATCTCTGCCATTGAAAATCAACATAGATGGAACTTCAAGAGATGCAAGGGACCTTCTGGGCTCAAGCCGTGCTCAGCTTCTTAATCTGCGTGCTGCACGTGGACATGTTCATTTGGGGGAAACACACTGATCTGCACACTCATGCTTCACGCATGTATACTGGCCTTTGAGTAAAAGTAAAAGATGGCTCTTTACTGGGTGGAGGACTGGCTGGTGAGCCAGACAGTGGGGACCAGGCTGTTGCTACAGTCCAGATGGACTAGCCAGAATGGCAGCCCTACCCAGGTGGGAGGGTGAGGTTGTGAAAAGTGAGGAGATTGGACATATGATTTGCAAGTCAAGCCAATAGGACTTGCTGATGATTGAATGTGTGCAATGAGGACAATGGAGGAGTCCAGGATGACCCCTGGGTTTGGCCCTGGGTGACATTGTCCCTGACCAGTCTGAGTTTGCCCAGCATGATCCATCTCTGGTATTCAGGGCATCCAACATGTTTTGTTTTGTTTGTT